TAATATAATTGATTTTAAAATTTATATATCAACATTTAATAAGTGAACTTTTAAAATTTAAATTAAATTTTTATTTTCAAAAAATAAACATTTAATAAAATAAATTTGTAAATCTCGTATTAAATTTTAATTAAAAATTAGTGTTTTTATTGAAACTGTAATTTTTTAAAAGTCAAAATTAATATATATTATTTTTAATTTTTAAATATTTTTATTAATAATTTAATAACTACAATACAAGACTAAAAAATAAAGTCTAAGTAAAACAAGACAAGAATGATTATTTAAAGGGCTAACTATTTTTAAATATTATATATTTTATAATTATTAATGAAAAGAAGAATTACTCCCTTAATTCCTACTGTTTTGCCTTTTAATGTACTTTAAGAGTGATATATTTTCTTTTGCCTTTGTTGTTGTTATAGGTTTCTCATCTCAATATATATCTTAAAAATATATTTAAAAAATTAATTAAGAATAAATTTACATCTTTTAATAAAATGCTGGCGTAGGAAACATCCATAAAAAGCATAGTAAAACACTAAAACGCAGCCTTAATAACTTGAGTTAATGAGAAAATACCATTTCAACACACCTTTTACAAGGGAAATGCAGTCGAAATATCTTGGGCTATGGCACGAGCACCACATGCTATGGCACGAGCACCACATGCAACGGCATGCAAGAGACTTCAGTTCTTAATGTCTTTTTGTCTAAGGGGTGTGTGGTAGAATTTATTTTTTGAATAATTTCTAAATATTTTTTATTTGCATATTTTAAATTTTATGAAAGGGTTAAGTTGTTTTTTTGGTACTAGTATTTTTTTGTCTTATGCATTTGTCATTTATGTATATTACATTACTTACAAAAGAGATAAAAATAAATATAAAAATTTAGAAATAGATAAATAATTAAAGTTAAAGGGTGACAATATAATTATCAAAGTAAGAAATAATATATTTTTTGAATGATAATGAAATAAATTTTGAATAAAAATATTTTCCTTCTAATAAAAATTAAAATGTGTGAAAAAAAAATGTATAAATAACTCAAAAAATAAGTTTAACCAAATACTTAAATCACGCTTTTATTATAATATATGGATTTTATTTTATTTTTTTATTTTACTGATATGTACGGAAAAGTTTGATTTAACATAAGCACGTACTTTATAAATTGCAATTATTGCCCTTATAAGTGGTTACAATTCAACCATTAGCTTCAAATAAGGTTACCATATAGCATGTAAAGGAAAGTCAAACGTAGTAATTTTCTTTCTAAGGACTCCACCTTCCCTATCATAGCATAAAGCATATATAATAGCTACAAAAACCACTTTAAGAATCGTTGTCCTCCTATTTCCACCTCCCCCCTTGAGCCTAAATCCATTGTTATTCCACTTCCCATTATTGGGGTGCATGAACCTAATCAATCCCTACATAAGACGCCAGCCCACGCAGCCCTTCACACAGGAGAAGAAAAGCTGGCTCTGAGTCACTAACATCACTTTGACAAAGCACACAACGTTTTAGCATTACTTAGGTCACGTTTATCTGTGTGAAAAGTAAAGTGAAGTATATCATATAATCATTAAGTTAACTTCTTAATTTATTAATTATGTTTTTTATAATTTAAAAAAAAAAAAAAACCACACAACGTTTTAACATTGAGTCCTTCACACATTGGTATATATGTGTTTAGATTTTATTGTGTGTGTTAAAATCCCCAATGGTTATAATCACTAATTCTTTTATTAAGATTACTAAAATTATGTTAAAAATATTGATTCTATTTAATTTAAATTACTAAAAATAATTATTAATTAATGAAATAAATGATATTTAATATTTAATAAATTAAAATCAATTAATAAACTTATATTTTTAAATGTTATAATTATCTATTTAAAAAACATATATATAATAAAATGCAATTTTAATATTTTAACAAATAAATTGAAAGTCATAACCACATGTAGACGTCTAGGGGTTCACCCAACAAAAGTTTGTTGATTGAAGGCAAGTTGAGGATCCCAATGAACATTTTCTTAGTACGGGGATGGTTTCGAACGAAATCACATTGTAGAGGGACCATGATTGGCTTTAAGTCTTTTTAACCCACAATTGACCGCAGAAAATTACGTAATTATTCCACTTTAGATCGGCGGCGAAGCGAGCTTCCTCCTGCCGGAAATGGCGATGACAGTCGAAAGTAATTATTCTACATTCTTGTTTCTCTTTTCATCCTTCTCTAATTTCTTCAAATTGACGAAAAATGGTAAATTTTCTTTTGTCGTGATTCAGGGTTTAGTATTCATTACTAGGATTAAGCAATATTGATTTGAGATTATCGGCTAGAGTTTCCAATTAATCTCATTTTCCATCGCAGTTCATGAAATTAGACAACAAAAATTGTTTTCAAGTTCAAGACCTCTCATAATTTTATGATTACTGAAAATTTGATTTAGTGTGTAGAAATAGAAGGATTTGTATTTGTAAATCTAGGGTTTCAAGTTAAAAGTATGCGGTGAACTGATTTCTTTCGGGTTGTGGTTATTCATTTTCGATTGCTTGTGGTTTTATGTATGCCATGCTTTATTGTTGTGTGTTGCTACATAAATATTGCTCTTATTTTGAAAATGCTTGGAACTAACAAATCTCTGTTTCTGTGCATTGTTGTCATGGGGTTTTCAAATGGATTGTGTCCTCTGCAGTGTAAGTTGAAATTGTTAATTGTTTATGTTGCTCAGCTTAACAGAATCAGTTTGATATGGCTTGTTTATTTTGCCCTTTAATTTACTTTACAGGCTTGCTGGGCTTGCTTTCATGTTCTCAGCTAGTATACTGCTCCAGATTTTGGTACTTCCTTTCCTTCTTTCTTTTAAATTTTCCCTCTTTTTCTTGTATGTTGCCTTTATAAAATTAGATTTCTGTTTTATTTTTTCCTTAAACCCAATTAAAAGCTAACAAAGTAGAGTTCAGGATGATACATCTAATTCATGGTATTTGGTTTGACTTTCGTAGCTTGTGTTCTTTGGGGCTGAGCATTCCTTGTTTCTCCAAACATTGCATGCTTCAAAGTTCAAACCATATATTTTTTGTTATTGACTGTTTTGAATATTCCTCTTGGCATACTTGATGACTTCAGAAGAGAGAAGATTCTCATCCATGTTAATGCTCATTAATAAACAGAAGGTTGTTGGGTTAACCAATCTAGACTAATGGAAAATTTTATAAGGCTTGCAAATGAGCTTGAGACAGGTCAATACTTGTGCATCAAGTCAAGCAAAGTTCAATGGTCTAGAACTTGCTTTGGTTTACATTCTTATTCTTGCACTATTAAGACAATTTCCTAGGTGGTTTGATCTTGAATATCTTTGTGGTTATATGAACTGCTTGGTTGAAGAACTTGGGAGATGTAGAGATAGGTATTAGAATGCTGTCTTCGTTGAGGCTAGGATGTCTCTTTAGGAAATTAAGGGGTGGTCTTTATAGAAATTTGTAAGGCTTTGTTGCCTCAAGAAGCATGGAGGTTTATGTGGTTGAAACAATGCTACCCACCCTTAGAGCTATCACCATGAATTTTCCCTTGTACATGTTCTAACTTCAGCACTACCAATTGCTGATCAACTCAAGGAGAAAAATGCCATGTTTCTTTTTGGTATCAGCTTGCTTTATATTATCAGTGCATTTGAGCCCCTGGTTAGGGAATAGGGATAGACGAAAATTTAAAAGGTGTGTGTATATTCTGCCCTGGTTTTGGGTTAGTCTACACTAATTTAAATCTCTATACACTGCTGAGTTTTCTCTTTCCATTAACATAAATCTAGAATTAAAACTTTGCTGCTATTTATGGTTAACTGCTTCATTTATTTTAGGAATTTAAGGGGGCACATTCTTTTTGTATCTTGTTTCTTGAATTTAGGTAATTATGAGATGTAAATGCTACTAAATTTTTAGCACATTAGCCCCTGATCCTCTTCAAAATTTCCTAGCTATCATTATGATGGCATTCACTAGATGCTGCAATTCATGACAATTTCTACATCATCTCTGAATTCTTTTCCATTTATATTGATTGCAAAAAGAAGACTTCATTTAGAAAGAAAAAGAAAATTTTCAAATTAGGGTCCTCCTTTGCTTTGCTCATGTGCAGTTTTTTATGACTGAAAGTATAGCAAGATGTCTTGTACTACTGTTTGGGTTTACACAAGTCTCTGGTGGAGATAGAAGTGTTTTGGTAATAAAACGCTTTTATAAGATGTTTCTTTGCATGAAATTAAAGGAACATTGCCTATGGAATTTTATATTAGAGTTACTGCCTTCATTTAAAGGAATTTCTTACTCAGTCACACACATACCTATTTTTTTGATTGCCAACCTGTTTAGTCAGTGCTATCACCAAATCAAGTGCAATGGTGAAAACTAATGAACACTCTTCTTCCTGAAGACTCTTAAACAAAAAATGAAATTAATATATTATGATTGCTAATTTACTATTTTTTTCATATTTTATGTCAGGCTTGTGCGATATATAATAACTGGTGGCCAATGCTTTCAGGCAAGGCAGGCTATTATGCTTAACTTATTGTGCCTTATATAGGTTGCATTTGAAGGGTTAATAACATGATTCTATTTTCTCTTCTCTGGCAGCTCTGATGTACGTGATAGTGCCAATGCCTTGTTTATTCTTTGGAGGTGGGTCCACTCATTTTCTTATGAGCCATGATGGTGGGGGGTAAGTGTTTCTAAATATATAATCCTGTTTCTTAACTTACTATGATGACTCTTTTGCTGTATGTGTTTTATTAGTGTGTGTAAGCATGCATGTGTGCATCATGTTTTCATTATTGGTGACATTAATTTCATTGGCTTGTCATGATAGACTCTGGATAAACTAATTTAATGAAATTTCACCTCTCTTAGGCTTTCTTCCAGAAATAGGCAATGGTTCAATTAAATCATGTTTTTCATTTTACTAATTCTATATTTCTCTGTATCCTTAAATGATACTTTTTCTTTATCTTTTTTAGTATGAATTAAATTTAAGATTTAAGTTAATGTAGCTACATGGTAACATTCTGTATTAAAATTGCTCTTCAATTGTTTCTTTCCTTGTAAACCATTTTTTCTTTCTTTTTCAAAAATTCTCTCGCATGCTCTTATACAGAAATAGAATTACATGGTTGCAGTTTCTGTTATAAGTAGGAAATAAACTAGCTTTAAACTAGTTTGCCATTTCATTTTGAAGAGTTCCTTTGAAACCTGGCAAGATAGAGAACCATTGCTGGTTTACATAGAAAAATAGATGATGAAAGGAAACTGATGGTTTTCTTATTGCCTACTACACATCTAATCCTTGGCCCACTGTGCTTCTGCTTTGTGAAATACATTTCTATCTGTTGAAAATATACCTTTCCGAATAGATGGAATGATGGATGTCCCCTGATAGGCTGCATGTTTGTTGGAAGTAGATGAATCTTAAGTTATGTGGTCAATTTGCAACCTAGAGCCAGCCGCCAGGCAGTTTTACCATCAGTATCAAAAGCTTGAATTTTCCCTCCCTTCTAGTTGCTCTGAATTTTCATCTTTTGATGTTCTTTTATGATAAACCTTTTCCTTTTTGCAGTTGGATAGATGCTGCTAAATTCCTGACTGGAGCTTCAACTGTAGGTAGCATTGCCATTCCTATCATTCTTAGGCATGCTGACATGATTGAGACAGGTGCAATGTTCATTGAATTCACCTCTTTCTTCATATTTGTTTGCACTGTCTTGTGCTTTCATCGTGCTAGCCTTGAAGATGACTGGTAATAAATATTCTGAAGAGTTAATGTAATTTCCCTAACTTTGTTTTGGTGTGTCCTGTTAGAGTTGACTGGTTATGGAAACTGGACTCCTACAAGGTGTAAGGAACAGAATTTCTCCCTTTTGTAAGTCTCTTATATTTTCATGAATGTACACTCACACTAGAAATTCTAGATGAGTGCATGCATATACTCACAATTTGTTTGAAATTCCATGCTCAAGAAAACAACTGTGTGTCACTTCACTTGTTTGCCAGATATATTGCAGCGTTGTTGGAATTGGAAACAATTGAAAGTAACTTGTGATTTTGGTTGAAAATCCTAAGAAACTTGTAATTTCAGGCGAGAAACTTTCGATGATTTTGATCGATTTAAGGGCTAATGAAACAAGACCCTAATAGTTTGTATGGTTTGAGGTGAGGGGGAGAAAATTTTATATTTGGATAGCGAAAAGTTAGAAGGGAGGGGAGACCTTCCCTTTATTTCTCTCAAACCAAACATGGGGTAAAGGTGATGTTTGCTCAAGGCCAAGGAAGTAATTTTTTGGGGGTATTGTATGCAACACTAAAGGCTTTCAACTTGAAGCCTGAACTCTTGCCAATTAAGGTGGCTCAAGGAAATGAATTTTTCATGGTGCTTACATTTTGCTGAAAAACAAGATAAAACAAAGAATGCTTTGAAGGGGGTGTCATTTGGTACAAACATCAGGTTTTAAGTTGAAGATAGGCGGGGAGGGATTGGGAAAAAGGAAGGGTTATCGAGGTTTCAAGTTGAAAACAAATAGGGATTAGGATTTTAAGAAAAAGGAGGGTTATCAAGGCTTCAAAAGGTAGAGAGAGATTTTAAAAAAAGAAGGGTTGTCAAGGCTCAAATTGAAGAAAGGTTGGGATGAATTTGGGAAAAAAGAGAGTTATATCCCAACTCATGATATGTTGTTCCAAAAACAATAAAATAACATTACTCTCTCCATTTTGCACTTTTTTACATGTCATTGTAATCCATACAACACATTACAAGTGCAAACAACTCTTGCTGAACTAGTAATGTGTATCAAATATCTGGATTCATATTAAGATTTAAGTCTCTATTGGAATAATTATAATATTTTCTCCGTTTTTTTTTTTTCAAAATTCCCCTTGATTAAAAAAAAAAAATTATAAAATCCATTGTTCTAAAACTCAGATATGAAGTATCTCATTTAATTCTTAATCATTGAAACATTATTGAAACCTCTTTAGGAATTTACCAAACATGACCTAAAACTTTAATTTGATAAGAAAATGGGAAGCGAGCCAAGAGACCGTTTTTCAAGTATCAAGTCTATCTTTCTATGAGTCTTGACTAGTTTTGAAAAAGATTAAAGGCTCGAAACACATAAAACTTTCTTGTTGGTTTCTTTACAGCTAGCGTTCACAACGTAACAAATAAAAGCTAGCGTTCGTGAACTTCACATTGCTTTCCTCCACCCACGCTTAAGAATAATTACTACCATTTTCAATTTTACTTTTTTTTTTTTAAATTTGGGTTGCAAAAAACCATATCTATCTCTTAACTCATCTTATGATTTGTAATTTAAATTTAAAATTTTTTATTCCACTTAAAAGAAAAATTATTACTAAGTTGGCTCTTCAATTTTACTTTTTACACTACATGCAATTGAAAGGAATGTAATATTCATATAGTATACGAATAATAATTGAAAAAAATTTTATATGAGTAAATTTTATTTAAGTAGTTTTTATAGTGTAATAAATTTTTTTGATAAAATTTAATAAAAATTTTAATTATTATTCATATAATAAATAAAAGTATTACATTAAAGGCAAAAAGTAAAAACATAGATTTTTTTTTATAACATGAAAGGTGAGATTTTCTTTTTCCCAATTTAAATAACTTTTGATATCTAAATTTTTAGCCCGATAATCTAATAAATACTTGTAAATTAAATAAGGCTTATTACTTGAATCTTCACAGCATATTATTTAAAATCTTTGAAAAAAGTAAAAAAAAAAAAAAAAAAAAGTACGCAAGTCTCTTAAAGCAAACTTCGTTATTCGGTGGAAGCCGTGCACAACAAAATTATATTTGGAATTTTGCTCTTTTTATAGCAAAAGTGAAGCAAGAGCAAAGTCATGCTTTCGTGCGAGATTAATTGGGAAAGAGAGGAGAAGAATACACACGCAATTAGGATGTGTTTGTTTAGGGGGGCAAAGGCCTATTCTTCTTCCACAAAATGATTTGATAGTTATAATAACGTAACGCGGCTCAAAACAATTTGCTTCCCACTCTTTTCTTGGTGATTTCAGTGTGAAATGGAAAAAAAAAAAAAAAGTTATAAAGTTGACTTGAATTTTGACAATAGTGTAAATTAGTTTAAACAAGTGAATTTTATTGAGATTTTGAGTCTAAAATGACAGTTTTGTCGTTAATAAAAAAAAGTTAAAGTAATGAATACATAAAAGTATCAATAACATTTTACTTACCTTAAAATTAACTAATCCAAACCATAATATACTTTTGAAAACTTCTGTGTACTTAGTCAACTGTCAGCGTGCAAAGACTCGAGTCGACTCCTAATTGGCCTAAGTGCCTTTTCTTCCTTTATTTTCTTTTTTAAATGCACTCGGCAGCTTTTATGCTTGAAAATTTAGGGGCGGGTAAAGATCGGTTTCAGTTAAATCGAAATTGATTTTAAAATAATTGAAATTTTTTTTTTTAATTTTGAGAATTAAAACCAAATTGAAATTATTACAAATTGATCAATTTAGTTATCAATAAAATCAATTTGATTTTGGTTTTTAATAAATAAATATTAATTAATTTTTTTAATAATAAATTATATTTTCACATATTTTATTATATTTTATCATATTTATTTTAATTTTAATTTTTTTTTAATTTATTTTTGATTTTTAATTTTTAAAAAATTCAATCAAAATCAAATTAAAATTTATTTAATTAACATCAAAATCAAAAAAATAAAAAACAAAAACTATTAAAATCAAACCAAATCCATTTTTCAATTCAATTTTTAGATAAGCCATCGAAATTCGGTTTCAAATACCCAACCTCACTTGAAATTATAGTTCGTTTGGAAAGTATTCATCGTCCTAGGTCAGCATATAGAGCTAGATGTCACTATGTCAGCTTCGGAGCTTCCTCTAATCACTTCACCCGCGCAAGCTATCCACCTTTCCCCACTAAACCTAACAAAAGATATCTTCTAAATTGAGTCCAGCTCCTTTATTATTATTATTATAATAAAAAATAATACTATTTCTGCAATTTCAAATTTAGTACATGGAAGCGCTCCTAGAACAAGGGATCTAGAAATCTATCTCATCGTTCCAAAGGCCGAATTTATTTTTTTATGATTAATATTCTAAATTAATTTTTTTTATTAACACCCTTTATAATTTATAAATTAAAAAAATATTCAAAAATTAATTATAAAATCATATATCTGATAATTCAATTAGTTTTTTTATTAATATAAAAATAATGATGTCAATGATCTAAATAGTTTTTTAAATTATTTTATTTTATTGAAAATAAAAAATTATAATTTCAAATTACATGACATGCAAATAGAATAAAATAAAATATAAGAGATAATTATTTTTCATTATGTAATTAAAATAAAAAAAAAACTTAAAAATAATGACAAGCCTCTACATTAATTTGATGTGGAACACTGTTTTGATGAAATGCCCAAATTGTACTATGAACTTCCTACATTGTTGTTCATTTTACTTTAATTTTTCAAAACACACCATTTTCACTTTCTTTCTCTTTTTTCTTTTTTTTTTTTTAGGGTGCAAAAGCTCCATCTTCGAACTGTGGATTTTTACAAAATAAACAAACAAATAATCAATTGCTAGAATTTGTGGATTTTATACAAATCAACGCCTTAATCATCACACACCAGAAATCAATTTGGACCTCCAGATCTAGAACTGCCGCACCGAGCAACCAGCCGCTTGCACCCATTGCCTCAGCCTCGTTTTCACCACCTCTGAATCACCACCATGTTCAAATATTGTGTTGGTGTTGCTACTAGAGTCGCTGTTGCAACCAATAAAAAACGAAGACAAAGATGGTGACAATCTACCGCTGTAGATTAGAAGCACACTAAAATTCTAGAGCGGGCAAAAGTATCTGATAATTTCGGATTTAAATCGAACGAATACAGACCTTGAGCTCCTACAGATCCTCGTAGGTAAGGCTCATGCTTCATTTCAATTCCTTCTTATGGTTTCCCTTCTGCTTTAATCGCGTTTTGTAGTGCTCAATGTCTGGTGACCACGAAGTCTATTTGTAGAGTGGTTGTAGTGGCAGTGGCTGCGTTTGTGCCTCCTTTATAGCTCCCACTGCCGTGGGTTGCTGTTTGGGAGATTAAGGAGTGCTAGGGTTTTTGGCTAGTGTTCCATGGAGTTGAGCTTCTACCAAAATCTCTTGAGATATAATTTTTTTTTTTTTTGACTGGGAGAATTGCAATATTAAGTTAGTATCTGTTTGAAAAAAAGTTAAATTTAGACTTGACTTTAAAATTAAGTGTGTTTCGCCTGCTTCTCATTTTGGAGAAACGTGATTGTCACTGCAACCATCAGGGAAATGCATCTCTTGAGATATAATTTTAATAAATGAATATTTAGTTTTTTTTAATTAAGCATATTAATAAGTATAAATAAAATATCAAGTAATTTTAAGTGTAAATTACTAGATACTTTATTTATAATAACTAACAAAAAAAATGCATTAATACTAATTAGCTCTAAACCTTGTCAATGGTATTACCTCTAAAATGTTAGTTAACAGAACAAAGGAGACAAATTCTTTTTTTTAGGGGTATTTTCTCACTTGAAGAAATTTAAAATAAAAATAATATTAAAATCCAAATCTCAATGGTATGCTTTTTGTTGTGTAGGCCGGAGGCGTCAAGAGGGTCACCCAATGAAAGGTTTTTAATTGAATGCAAGTAGGGATCCAATGAACATTTTCTTAGTACAGTATGGTTACGAATGAAATCACATAATAGAGAACCGTAATTGCCTTAACTCACCCACGAACACAGGATGAGTTGACAAAATTTTTTTTAATTTAATTAAAAGTTTTAATTTTAACTCTTAAAAATATAATTTTGTTAAAATTCGTGAAAAGAGTTTTACTTAACATCAAATCCTATTCGGATTGAATTCAGATTAGTGGGTGCACAGTTAACTGCCGTCGTATATCGGACGGTCCAAACAAAAAAAAAATATATTGCCTTTAACCCGAGAATAGACCGAGGAAATTACGTAATTATTCTTCATTGTATCGGCGGCGGAGCGAGCTTCCCCCACC